TGGTCTAGTGGTTTTCCCTACTTTCTTCAATTTCAGTCTGAATTTGGCAATAAGGAGTTCATGATCTGAGCCACAGTCAGCTCCTGGTCTTGTTTTTGCTGACTGTATAGAGCTTCTCCATCTTTGGCTACAAAGACTGATTTTGGTATTGACCATCTGGTGAGGTCCATGTGTAGAGTCTTCTCCTGTGTTGTTGGAAGAGGGTGTTTGCTATGACCAGTGCATTCTCTTGGAAAAACTCTATTAGCCTTTGCCCTGCTTCATTCTGTACTCCAAGACCAAATTTGCCTGTTACTCCAGGTATTTCTTGACTTCCTACTTTTGCACTCCAGTCCCCTATAATGAAAAGGACATCTTTTTGGGGTATTAGTTCTAGAAGGTCTTGTAGGTCTTCATAGTACTATTCAACTTCAGCTTCTTCAGTATTACTGGTTGGGGCACAGACTTGGATTACTGTGATATTGAATGGTTTGCCTTGGAAACGAACAGAGATCATTCTGTCGTTTTTGAGCGCATCAAGTACTGCATTTCAGACTCTTGTTGACTATGATGGCTACTCAAATTCTTCTANATGTGAGAGTTGGACTATAAAGAAAGCTGAGTGCTGAAAAATTGATGCCTTTGAACTGTGGTGTTGGAGAAGACTCTTGAGAGTCCCTTGGACTGCAAGTCCATCCTAAAGGTAATCAGTCCTGAATATTCATTGGAAGGACTGATGCTAAAGCTAAACTCCAATACTTTGGCCAGCTGATGCAAATAACTGATTCACTGGAAAAGACCCTGATGCTGGGAAAGATTGAAGGCGGCAGGAGAAAGGGATGACAGAGGATGAGATGGTTGGATGGCATCACCGACTCGATGGACATGAGTTTGAGTAAACTCCGTGAGTTGGTGATGGACAGGGAGGCCTGGCGTGCTGCAGTCCATGAGGTCGCAAAGAATCAGACACAACTGACCAGCTGAACTGAACTGAGTGAGTGAATGAAAAGTTAATGATAAAACCTAATAATGCTGCTTTGATTGGCAGGCTATGTACCTATTCTTTAGTATATGATCATCTATTGTCGATTTTTTTCCCATGAAAAAGCACCCCTTTGCAGTCACACATCTTATTTTTTCTTATTTCCACTAAAATATAAGAATGGCTAAAAATTAGAGTCTGTCAATTTTAACATTTCTATAAAGGCAACATCTAAACAATGTTTTTAAGATAAATATTGTAGGTTACCTACTCGCTTCAAAAGAAGCAACCAAATGACTACTTAATTTTTTTTTCTTTTCATCTAGATGTTATGGCATTGGTTAGAAACAGTCTACCTATCATTTTACCATTTCTATGTGAGCAAAATAGTCTTCCCTTTATATCCTCACCCCTTTTTGGTATATTTTACCCATACTGACTTCTCTCTAGAGACAGGATGGATTTTTTTTTTTTTTTTTTTGTGGCTGCCCCACATTGCATGTGAGATCTTAGTTCCCAGACCAGGGATCAAACCTGTGCTCAAAGCAGTGGAAGCACACAGTCTTAACCACTGGACCACCAAGGAAGTCCTGGGATGAATTTTTACTTTCATTAAGGTATTACAGACATCTTTAATTTGTTCTTCTATATAAATAAATATAAATGTTACTGTCTCTGGCAGAGCCAGGAGGAAGGTCAAGTTGCAGTCAGAGGCTTTGCATCAGAATATGCTTGGAAGCCAACACCTAGTGTATTTATAATGGAAGTTACTTCAATTGTTAAACAGACTCATGCAGAAACACATGTGTGTGGGCGTACATGCGCACACACACACACACACACACACCTCATACCACACTACACTATACTCATAAGAACCACAGCCATCATATTTGAAAAGTGAAAGTATTAGTTGCCCAGTTGTGTCAGACTTTATGTGACCCCATGGACTCCTCCACCAGGCTCCTCTGTCCATAGAATTCTTTAGGCAAGAATACTGGAGTGGGTAGCCATTCCTTTCTCCAGGGCATCTTCCTGACCCAGGGATCAAACCTGGGTCTCTCACATTGCAGGCAGATTCTTTACCATCTGAGCCACCAGGAAAGTCCAGAATATTTGAAAAAGTAAACTTGAAAGTTCAGAAAGTATATGTCTTGATTCAGTTAGTACACAGAAAAGTAGGGGAGGTACCCAGCCTGGAACTGGGCTTAAAGATACATGTCTTTTTCCTCAAATAAACAAAAAGCTATGACAAAAACAAGGAGAAATGTTTGAGATGGGGACTTTTTTTGTGCAGGAGAGATAAACATGGTTGCTATCATGCTTTTGCAGGTAACAGCTGTCCTTTAAAGTGTGCTGTCTGCCAACATTTTGATAATGCAGAGGTTCACATGTTTTCCATTCCATTTTTAGGTTGCTAGAAAGACTCTGTTGAAAGCATTCCAGGTCCACTTTTACAAAGGCACAGTGGGTATGACATCAGAGTAATCACTATCAGTAGCAAGGTGGCCTCTGAGAGTGGTTTTATGTTGTTGTTGTTGTTTTCCACAGTATATATACCTGTTCCCTAATTGCCTCAGGGGGCAAATTGATAAACTGAAGTGTTTGGTGTTCATTGACTTTCACAGCACGTTGAAAGTCTCATAGCCCAGAAAGATGGAGAGTTGACCATGCTAATATCTCATGTGTTGCTTCTACCTCAGAATATGTGTAAAAAAATAGAATTTCAAGTTCATGGAGTATTTCTATTTCTCATTTGAATATGACATTAGGTTAACCTGAACATCTTAAGTGGATTTCTAAAACTTTGTAAGTACCAATTTCATAATTCCAAAAAATAAGCATGTGTTTTTCCCATTTCAGAAACAAAGTTGTCTTAACTCTTACATACTTTACATAGAATTATATAAAGGCACATTCAGCAAAAGGAAAAGAAAAAAAAGTGAGGTTTTCCTCTTAGAAAGTAGAAAATACAATAATTTTCCTCCCATCCACCTGAACACTGGGAAAGTATGACAAGTTTTTTGATCTTACAATGCCTGATACCTAGTAGGCACTTAGGGAATCTTGTTAAAAGAATTATAATGAATATGCTTCTGAAACAATTTGAGTTTCTTACCTGTAAAAGCCTACTTTCAGCTTTCAGCATGGTAGCTTTGTGAAGAGGCATATATTTAGTTCATAAGTGGTTCACATACATTTTTTTCAAATTAAAGCAAATCACAGCTATTTGGTTGGAGTAGCAAGGACCCAAGAGTTCAGAAACCTTGGCTACATGTGAGGCACCAATGCTAAATGGCAAATGACTTGAGAAAGTGACTCAACCCTGCTAGGTCTCAGTTTCCCCATGAGTGAAATGATTGGTTTGGAGCAGGTTACTTCTGAGAGTCTGGGCTTCCCAAGTGGGGCTAGTGGGAAAGAACCCACCTGCTAATGCAGGAAGACATGAGGTGTGGGTTTGATCCCTGGGTCAGGAAGATTCCCCTGGAGGAGGGCATGGCGACTCACTCCAGTATCCTTGCCTGGAGAACCCCATGGGCAGAGGAGCCTGGCAGCCTGCAGGCCACAGGGTTACACAGAGTTGGACACAACTGAAGCTACTCAGCACACATGCACTCACTTCTGATAGTCCACATAGCTTCAAAATTCTACAACTGAACGACTCAAATTAGGGAAAATGGAATCTAAATTTCACAAACACTGACATCTTGCCTACTGCATGCTAGGCAATATTATGAGTGCTTTACATCATATATAGTCATATAATAATAAAAAAGTATACACTGTGCATGGGGTGGCATTTTGGATACTGTAAAGTATAAGCAAATGATAGTTGCTGTTAAAATGACAGTAATTTTATTAAAGGTCAATATACCACAAATCATTTTTTAAAAGCAGACTAAAGGGCTTCCCCAATGTCTCAGTGGTAAAGAATTCGCTTGTCAATGCAGGAGACACGGGTCTGTCCCTGGTCCAGGAAGATTCCACATGCTGTGGAGCAACTAAGTCCATGAGCCACAGCTACTGAACCCATGCACCTAGAGCCCGCGAGCCATGACTAGAGAACCCACCACGATGAAAAACCCGTGCACCGCAACTAGAGAGTGGCCCCTGCCTGCCACAGCTGCAGAAAAGCCTGCACAGCAACAAAGACCCAGCACAGCCAAAAATAAATAAATAAAATTATTTAATTTTTTAAAAATAGCAGTATATTAACAGAAATAATATAGGAATAAAGTAGTTGTTCCATTTAAACCACTCAATGTTAGATGGCAGACATAAGCTATCTAATTTTTATCTGACTAAGAGAATACTTGGTCAGTTATTTGACTAAGAGAATCCTACCTGACTGGGATTCTGAGGTGGCTTAGTGGTAAAGAATCTGCTTATAATGCAGGAGACACGGGTTTGATCTCTGGGTCAGGAAGATCCCCTAGAGAAGAGCACCACAACCCACTCCAATATTCTTACCTGGAGAATCCAGGAGCCTGGTGGACTACAGTCCACGGGGTCACAAAGAGTTGGACACAACTGAGCAACTAAACCACCACCACTACCATACTTAAACTCATTCCAAAGCAAGATATAAAACTATTATATAAACCACTACCACTACAACACTTAAACTCAGTCCTGTCCACATTTAAAACCATGTCTATGAAATTCTCCACTTATAAAACACAAGACTGAAAAACAATCCAGGGGGTTTCCTGGCAGTCTAGTGGTTAGGATTCAGCATTTTCACTGCCCTACCCTGGGTTCAGTCCCCAGTCATGCAAGCTGCATGACTCATCAAAAAAGAAACAAAATCATCCATCCACTTAGCCAGTTTGATTGATCTGGGATAGTCTTAAGCAGCAAGTATGATAAAAATGGGATTTTCAACACATGAACACATTAGATAGGTATACTGAAAGGATAGCCTAAGGGGAAAGAAAAAAAATTATCCTACATAAGTAAAGTTTCTTTTCTCCTGAAATTTCCACGTAATTTCTCCACTCTTTGAACACTTCCTAACATTAGCTAACCCAACTAACAGGAATGCTGCAGAAAACAGAAACAGGAGCTCTGTGAGAAGTTTGATTACCTGTATGGCATCTTGGAGGAGAGGAAGAATGAAATGACCCAAGTCATCACCCGAACCCAAGAGGAGAAGCTGGAACACGTCCGTGCTCTCATCAAAAAGTATTCTGACCATTTGGAGAATGTGTCAAAGTTGGTTGAATCAGGGATACAGTTCATGGATGAGCCTGAAATGGCAGTGTTTCTGCAGGTAAGTATCCCTCTAGCCCCAGAGGAAACAAACCAAGACGGTGGGTGCTGAAGAAGGACTGTCATTGAATTTTCAATATTTTCGTACATCTCACTTAGATTTATCTTCTCAACTAAAATATATGTGCTTATATCTCCATCTGTTTAAACTATTTCACAAGCATATATTTAAGGGACCATGGCATTGCTTAAATATAAGAGGGATCTGGTATAGAAAACAGTAGTTATTTACAGCATTTAAAAACTAAGCTATGAGATGTTCAAGAGCCAGCAAAGGAAAGAATTCAATCTCAACATGTCTTTGATGAAAACAATTTAAGTAGGCTTGTCTTTTGTTTGCTTCCACAGAATGCCAAAACCCTGTTACAAAAGTAAGTAATTTTCATTTTGTGAAAAAAAGTGTATTTTTCATTTTTACCCAAGGCTGTCAAACTTTACACAGTGACAGAAAGTGGGAACTTGTCTTTTCGCAGAATTTCTGAAGCATCGAAGGCATTTCAGATGGAGAAAATAGAACACGATTATGAGAACATGAACCACTTCACAGTCAACCTCAATAGAGAAGAAAAAATAATACGTGAAATTGATTTTTACAGAGGTTTGTTATTCTTGTGACCATTTGCCCAAAACTGCAGGTGTGTGAAAGTGGCAGAAGGTTTTGGTGGGAGGAAAGGGGGATTCAGGATCATCTCCAGAATGGATGTCGACAACTTCACAAAGATCATAATCCAACATGAAGCTCTATTTCTTGATAGAATCAAACAGTTTGGATGGTGTTTATTTAGCTTTGCCTATCACAGTGCTTGTTATCATTCTGTTATAGGGCATTAACTCTGGGTCATCAAATATTTAATAATTGATGGTGATGACAATAACTCAACTTCAACCGTACACAACGTGTTAGCCATTATGATAATGATGTAAAGTGTCATCAGCTGTAAGGTTAAGGATGAGATCAAAATAAAACATGGAAGACACTTGGATTTAGATACTGTACCATTAGCACTTTCACTTAAATATTAGAGGACAAGAAAAGTGAGTGAGTCATAGAGTGAGTCATAGAGTAAGTCACACCTGGAAATAAAACTGAGTCTATGTGATCAGATGTACTCAATGAGTTATAAACACATCCCTCTCATCTGGCCCAGAAATCCCACTCTTGGAATTTGATCCTGATGAGATAGTTGAAAAGAGAAGCTCAGTTAGATGATAAGGCTCCTTGGCTAGACCACTGTAAAGACATGGATTTATATCAGTGTCCACAGACATAACTTTAGAAGTAAATCTTCAGGATGGATCTTCTTTTAAAATTACTTAATATTGTCTATCATTAGTATTGCCTGAGGAAGTATTAAAATCAGTGGGTTAGAGTGGGATGAATTGGGAGAATTGGGGTTGATATATATACTCTACTGATACTATGTATAAGATAGGTAGCTGAGAACCTACTGTATAGCAGGGAACTCAACTCAGCACTCTGTGGTGACCTAAATGGGAAGGAAATCCAAACAAGAGAGGACAGACGTATAATTATGGCTGATTCACTTTGCGGTACAGCAGAAACTAATACAACATTATAAAGCAGCTATACTCCAATAAAAATTCATTTTAAAATAAATAAACTGCATTGAAGACAGGCAAAAAACAAAAAAAAAACAAAAAAAAACTAGTGGGTTACAAAGAGTCACAGTGTTATCTGTGGCAAAAATCATCCTTCACTGAACAAAGGAGGTGAGAAATTAAATAGAACCAGGGTTTTGTGTGTCTTCTGACATAAGGTAGAGATTTGCTTTTCCATTTAATTTGACAGAAAAAAATAAGTGACAGTCCCAGCCCTCCAGGAACTGGCAGATGTGACAAAGCATGAGAGATGTCAGGCGGATGGGGCACGGTGGTCGTGAGGACGACACTTTGAACTGGAGAGGGGAGCAGGCAGGGTGGCGATGACTGAGACCACTTGCACAGCATCATGTCCACATTTAAGTGCAAGTGCAAGCCCCCTGCTGCTGTCGAGTGTCTGATGGAGAGGTTTCCATAGCCCTGACCTTAATCTGAGCTACAAATATTGGCCAGTCATGTTTTTCATGGCCACAGTGGTAATTGTAACAGTATGAAAACACATTACCTTATCAGAGGATGAAGACGAAGAAGAAGAGGGAGAAGGAGAAGGAGAAGGTGAAGAAGAGGGAGTAGATGTGGAAGAGGTGGAAGACGTCCGGACTGAGTCGTCAGGGGGAGATGAGAGTCCAGAGAAAGGCATGGAGCCCTCTCCACCGACCTCGGAGCTCCAGGCTGCCCCCGAGGCACCCCCAGTTTCCTCTCCGGACCCCCCTCCAGTCCTGCTACCTGCTGTGGAAGCCCCAGTGACACAGGTAACTCAGTTCTGAGTTCCCTCTTGCAGGACATGCAGGTGTGCCTCCTTGCTGAGCAGCTCAAACAATTTATTCTACCTCAAGGAAAGGAAACACTACGCCAGGCATTTGTATATGGAGGACACAGATTTTAGGGCCATCACAGTGTCAGGGAGAAAGTCTTCTAGGGCATTCAGCAGGGTCTTTGTGGTTATAACCAGCTGGCAAGACTCAGTTTCACATAATTTTCCCACCCTCAAATCTGAGGCAATCTATGGCAATTGTGTATGTGTGTCTTAACATGTGAATTCAGAGAGATGAGAGCATGGCATTGACTCTTAGTATAGATACAGGGTATAGGTTGAGAGATTAAAATGGTTCTATTTTCAGAACTTTGACTTTTCTGTAGATAATAAAGAAACTAAATAGAGAAACCATGCTAGTTTCTGTCCCTGTTGCTTACCCTGAAACAGAACTATAGCTTTTGGTCAATGGGCAAATAAAGGAAGCTGAGGTTTCCTATGTCTCTGGCATTTGATGAAATGATGGGTTGACAGAATTGTTTTTAAAAGTTTCTTAGGAAATTAGCTCATCCCAGACACTGTCTGTGGCTGTCCTGTGACTGACTTTATGTTTTCTAAGATGTCACTATTTGGTTCTCAAGCCTCTGTACTGACTTCACACCACCTTTGACAGGTCCCAACCCATTGAGTTTGTGGGCAATGAAGACATATATAAAAAAAAAAAGTCTGGGTTTCAAAGTGGATTGGAATTATCTATAGAAACAAAACTGCAAAGAGGGAACTCAGAGATGGAATTATATCTTATGCTCTGTCTCCATAGGAAACTAAGCTAAAAGACTATTTATAATTCCCAGAATCTTGAAATTCTGGGTGTACCAACTGCACTGAAATCGAACGTGATATGATAATTAAATGACAGTTGGGTTTGATCAACTAGATTTCAATTTGGGGGTTGAGAAAAGAGGTATTGGGGGACCCATGTATAATACAAAAAATTAATTCTGGTCAATAGTTTGCCATTCTGATCAATAGTTCTTCCATTATCTGCTATTTTATAAGCAAACTTTGTTCTAGGCTCTGCTCTCTACCTGACCAAGGCCACAGTCTAGTGAGACAAGCCCAGGAAAGAAGAGCGGGCACAAATAGATGCTGAGACAAGAATGCTGGCTGCATTCCTTGCCCTGAGCCCTTGGAGGGTGGGCTGAGCTGAAACACGCAAAAGATCGGGCCCACACACAGAGAGCTATCCCTTTGCAAGCCTGAAGGGAACTAAAATCCACTGCTTTTCTCTTTTTTTGCTTTTGAATTTACCTATCCTGTGAAGGGGGAGGTGGTGCCCACTGGCTCCCAGCAGACCACAGAGTCTGAAACTCCAGTCCCAGCAGCAACGGACACTGCGGATCCCTTGCTTTACCCTAGTTGGTATAAAGGCCAGACCCGGAAATCCACCGCCAACCCACCTTCCGCCCCAGGGAGCGGAAGTCTCGGGCGCGTAGGGCCTTCAGCTTCCAAGGATGCGCGTGCGCGGAAGGCTGAAGGGGCAGAAGCCGCAGCCAGGGAGAGGGCAGCAGTGAGTGGTAAGGATGCTAGCTCACCTGCAGCTACTTCTCAGGTTAGTGTCAATGAATGCTCTGGGGTCTGAATGCTCCCTGCGCCGCCTGGTCCTGCTGGGATGACAGCAAAGAGGAAGGGCTTCTGAAGGGGCGGACAGAACCCGGGGCCTGGGGGATAAGGGGAACAACTCATCTACCCCAAGTTGGCTTGTTTTTCTAAGCCTGACATGAAGTGAAAGAGACACCAATTTGACTTCATTTTGCCCGTGTGTGGCGACTTCACACCTGGTTGCCCAGGGGCGGGAGTGCAAGCGGGCCTGGCCCCTAGGCATGCAGGTGAAAGCTGCTTGTCTGCAGTGACTGGCTGGCGTCCCCGGTCCTCCTCTGCACTGGCCACTGGCCCTTGTTGGGCCTTTTCTGCGTCCTCTCTTAGCTTCCAAAGACTAATCACTTGCTTCTGTGTCGTTCCCAACACCCAGCAGGCACGTTTGAGTCAAGTTCTATGTCGGCTCTGGAAAATAACCTCTGATTCTTGGGTTTTGGTTTTGGGAGTGTGCTGGTGAAGGCTGGACAAAGATAGTTTTGGCTTAATTAAACCGGTGCTTCCTACGCATGTGCTGCTGGAAGCAGAATAGCACCGACTTCCCTCCTTCGGAATTTTTTAAGGGGTCATTTAATGCCTCTTTTTTTTTCTTATCAAAATGCAAGTTTGAAGTTCGTTTCTTTTTTCTAACACTGGGCTAGATGTTTGCATGGCTCAAAGATTCCATAGAAGAAATCTTCTACAATTTCTTCACAAGGAAGAATGTTCATGGTTACTCCATACCCATGAGTATTCTTAAATGACGTGTGGGTGTTGCCCAGACAGGGGCTAGCGGAAAAAAATATGCTCGAGTTCTGTGCTCCTGGGTCATCAGGTGATTTCAACAATAGCATTTTTTCAAAAATCATAAAATTCTTACTGTCTTAACTATCTGCTCAAGTGAACCTCTATTTCCATGAGGTAATAAATGGAAATGATTTTTGGAAAATTCAAAGATGGACATGCTTTCGTGCCATTTATTTTCATGAATGAAAAATGACAAAAAGATATGTTTGGTGTGAGGAAACCTTTGAAGGTTGTTTTAGGTTGTAAAAAAAGTGGAGTAAAAAGTTTTCTAAAAGATGGATGGGAAGTTTATTTCTGGAAAGTTTATGGGATTCCTTACATACTTAGTGGACATTGAGTCAGGCAGAAAAACAGTAATACAATAACCCAAGATAGGAGCACAATCGAAATGAAAATGAAAAATCCATCTGAATGAGGATGAAAATATTATTTGTGATAATATCAGTGAAGCTTTCTTCTTGTTTTCTCACAGGAGTTAGGAATCTGCCTAGCACTTTTGGCTTTTCTTATACTTCACTACATCTGGCGTCAGATTCAATGCTTGATTTTTACTTTAATGGGTAGGAATCTTTTCTTTTCCCTTGACTAACATCTCATGTAGCTCTTCCATAATGTTTCTCTTCTGTAGGCCCAGAGATGACTTTCTCCCCCAATTCTGAGGCTCTGGCAATCTAAAAAGAACCAAGTTCCCAAGCACTACTCGTGGCCTCATGGCCCCTTCCTGAAGAGAATCACTCCGTCATCTAATCCTGCATGGAAGGGGATCCTGACTCAGAACGAGACTCATTGGGCAATTATTCAGTAATCCAGTGGGAGTGGACCCTCCATAATAGCCATAGAAAGTGTTAGTCACTCAGTCCTGTCCGACTCTTTGCGACCCCATGGACTGTAGTCCACCAGGCTCCTCTGTCCATGGGATTCTCCAGGCAGAACAGCCATTAGAGGAGGCCATTTTCCAAAGGTGTCCAGAATGCTGTGAGTAGTCTGTGCTCTTAGATGAATGACCAGCAAAGGCCTCATACAGGACTATGCAGATTTCCATCAGTTCAGTAGCAGCATATCATCTGCCTCACCAGAGAGGTACCCAGGTGGGCAGGTGACTGCTTTGGTGGGCAGGTGGACCAGGTGACTTCTGGTTCTCTCTGCACCCTCAGAGTCCACAGTGTCTCTCCTAAGAGAGGGGAGCCTGGGTGCAGTCACATAGGGGGCATTTCGGCCAAGTGAGATCTGAACGAATAAGGAGCCAGAGGGCCAATGTTCATTTACTGGCTATAACAAATTAGAACCAAAGAGAAGTCATAAAGCCAACGGAGAGTATACTATTTTTGGTATGTTGTCTCATGGTCAAGCCTTTTCTTGATGACTGTTAGGAGGTTTAGGGACTAACCATCTTACTCCTTTCATAACCTTTTGAATGTTATCAGCTTCATGAGTCATATTTAAAGATTTAAACCCCACGTACTTTTGAGTAAATGGCCCTGCTGGGACTGAGACCCAGCTCCCTGTGCCCGTAGCTCAGAAGTGATCCAGGGTGACTGGAGCTGAAAGGGCTCAGCTATTTCTGGCTCGCTGACTTTTCCCAGGTTGACACTGACTCTTCTGGAAGCTCCCCTCATAGCTCCTTTCTGCCTCATTAGCTGTCTACTCAGCGATGGCAGTAGGCTCCCCATAGGTCCCTGTCATGCCTATAACTGTGTGTGAATGGCACCTACCCCAGTGTCTAATAGCCATAACCTGTGTATTATAGAATGTTCTGAGTGTCTTTGTCAGCTCAAGGGCATAACTCCTCCTCCTGTCATTTGTGATGAACAGCAGTGGGAGGAAGTTATTGGCCATGGGCTCAGTGGGGCAAATGGGGAGGGAGAGAAAAGTCCCTGCATAACTGGAATATCCTGAATAACTGTGGATCTGAATAATTGTCTGAAGAGTTCAGTTTATATTCTGAGAGTTCAGGTTTGGAACTTTGTTGCCATATGTCCTTGTAATGCTTCTCTGAGGCTGCGGTGGGCTGGGGGGGGGGGGGCGGAATCATGCTTCTTGTCTGCTGTCCATTGGAGCCCATGTCATGGATGCTGTCATTCACATGCCTGTCGTGAGGGTGAGGCAGGGGGGTGGGGTTGTAGGTAGAGGGTATGATGAATTGACTTTCACTACTGCCAAGAACCTTGGGTAGTCCTTGGTGTTTGAGAAAGAGCCTTTCACCTAGAGAAGGGCACCTGTTTATGATGGAGGACCACTCTTTGATCCCTGCCTGAAAGGGGGTATGGACAGATTAATAGAGACCTCACCACAGCATCAGATTCCCCATCCCTGTGAAGGTTTTGCAGGCCTGATTCACCTTCAGTGCCTCAGAACTCAACTCACTAGATATTTGTCCAATGCAAGGTCTTATGAAAACTAAAGTTAAAGGTATAGAAGTTGGTGGAATTTAGATAAAGGTATATAAATTGGTATATTTAAATGGGCTCTATATAAGGTGGTTACAGCTTATTTAATTATATTGTGGGACAAACAAGGCTTCCGTGGTGGCTTAGAGGGTAAAGAATCTGCCTGCAATGCAGGAGACCCAGGTTCAATCTCTGGGTCGGGAAGTTCCCGTGGAGTAGGAAATGGCAACATGCCCCAGTATTCTTGCCTGGAAAATTGCTTGGACAGACGAGTCTGGCAGGCTACAGTCCATGGGGTCACAAAGAGTCGGATATGACTGAGCGACCAGGCATGCAATGCAAGGTTAGCTTGTTAGAATTTCACACTTCATTCATCTTTCCGTGAACATCTCCTTGATTCCCTGGTGGTCTTATCTCTCTTAACCCATCCTAGGAAATAAAGTGGCCTTAGAATGATAGAAGCATCTCAGGCTCACTTGCTAATCTGTAAACTCACTTGAGCCCCATCAGCAGAACCACAATCCATTTAAGAAGGAAGATGTTTCCTGGTGCTTGCCTCAGGGCCATTCACACAGTGAAAACTACCCTTTTCTTGCTGTCTGTGATTTCTGATGCCATAGCATGTACATTCTCTCTTAACCTAACGACATAGGCAGATTATGAGTTAGAAACTGCTGATGGCAAAAACCGGACACCGGCTCTCTGCATGGGTGGTGACCCGGGATTCTGCTGTTTGTTAGGTCAGAGGCACACTGTTGCCTTCCCCACCTTGGTTCTCCAAGAAAACTAACTGCTCAGCAAGGTTTGAATTCAGGCCTGTGTACACTGTGCAAAGGTCCTATACATTAGCTGGTCTTTAGCTGCAAAATCACCCTCAAAGTTTGCACCCTTCTAGACCCTGCCTGTTGTACACTCAGACAACACAAAGAGTTTGGTGGCAATTATATCTGATCTACTTCCTGTGTTAATTTTTAAATATTTTTTTAAGAAACTGCACCATGCCCCAGTCAACCTCGGAAGACAGGGCAATAATAAGTGGGGAGGGCACTGTGATCAGGTTGGCTGCGCTTGAAAAGCAGCCTCTATGAGCCTCATCTACACTGCTTACATGCTAATTACACCTGAGTGTTAGCATAGGTTCCACCCCCATGCCCACCAGGACAACTGGAATTTTTATTGGGAATATGTGTGGCAATTAGATTTTCCCAGAAGCAGGAGCAGCAGCAATGAAAGCCCCTCCACATTCCCCTTCGCCCTTCCCAGTGAGGTTTAGCGACTGTGGTTGGAGAAATTTGTCCCAACCACTTGATGGGAACAGGGATACCCAGAGAAATGTGTCCCTGCTTGGTAGATTAACTTGGCAGCTGCTCTGGCTGACACTCGAGCTGGACCCTGGCAGCTGCCTCAAGGTCAGAGGACCCCAGCCCCACACACATACACACACACACGCACACAGAGAGCCATTTGCTGTGAAGATGGGGTTTTTGACATTAAAATCTCTGCCATTTCTGCCTCTGTAAAGAACCACAGCTCACATATTTCATCAGAGCACGAAGCTATAGTTGTCAGGGACCCTGAAAGCTTTTACCGTATCATACATAGCTATTCGTAGTTGCAAGATTAGAATATCCACTTTCCACTGCGCATTCCTCAAGTCTGAAAATAGACGAGCAAGTTGGTTAGAAACTGTGCTAAGGCCTGGGGCCCAGGAAAGATCTATGAAATCAAGAGGAAGGACTTCAGGTCAGTACCAACTCTGGGCACTTAATTTCTTTGAGCCTCAGTTTTCTCATGAAGAAAATGAAACAACTGCTTGATGAAAGGATTCATCTATTTGCACAACATCAGAGAGTGAAAAATCTGGTACTAAAAATCTTATAAATTGTTTCAGGATGTTTTCATTGGGAGGGTTATGAACTTAGACCTGACAAATCATTCTGGCAAATGTAACAATAATAGATTTAGATAGCCTACTGCATTTCCCCAAATGTATTTCTTGCCTTGAAGCTATTACACAAATCCCTAATTCCCAGACTATCTCCACATCTCCTGGACACCAATTTAGCTGAATGTTTACACAGCTGTGATTACCCTTTCAGATTCCATAAACCCCATAAAATCCAGGTCTGAAGTCTACCTACTGGTGCTTAGACCTCATTGCCCAGTAGAACAAAGGACTTAGAATGTACACAGTAAATGTAGTCACAGAAGATTAGATGAATGAAGGGATGAAAAATAGTGTGATTTTAAAAAATTTACCTTTTTTAATTGTAAGGTTCAGTAGGTTTTGACAGGTATGTAGCATTGTGTGGCTACAGGCCACAGTAAAGCCACAAGGTATTTCTATCCTCATGTGCCATTGCAGGTAATCTCCTTCTGGCATCCCAGCTGCTATTCTGCTGGTCATTATAGTTTCACCAGTTCTAGAAGATCATATAGGTGAAAACATCCAATATACAGGCTTTTGTGACTGGTTTTTTCAACTGGCAAAACAATCCTGAAGCAACCAATTGGGTGCAAGGAACAAGAACCCAATTCCTTAAAATCCCGAAGAGGAATAATGGAAGGAAGGTTTCCAAAATTCCTTTTTAAATGGAAGAAAAATGCCTTAAAAAGGTGCCCTGGGTTCCGCCAAAAAAAAAGAAACAACCAAAAATAACAATTTCCAAAATTCCTTGGTTGAACTTTGGGTTGAATTCAATGGGAAAAAAAAAAAATGGCCAAAAGGGTCCAAGTTTTTTTTTAAATCTACTAAGCTAACTTGGTGAATGTTCCATGTGCTGTCGAAAACCCTGTATTTTCTGTTGTTGCTGGGTGGAATGTTCTATGAATGTCCATCAGGTCAGTGAGTGTTGTTCAGGTTCATTATATCCTCACCGGCTTCCTGTGTACTTGGTTTTATCAATTACTAAGAGAGGAGTTTTGAGATCTCTGACTGTAATTGTGGATTTGTCTATTTTTCCTTGCAGTTCTATCAGTTTTGCCTATGTGTTTTGAAACTCTGTTTAGGTACCTATATTAGCATTGTTATATTTTCTCAAAGAGTTTATCCCTAGGAAAGTGTTAAAAAATAACTCTTTGTGTCTGCCTGCTTGAATGGGTTCACATATACTATTCTTTAAGGTAGGGTAGAAAAGTTAGAGGGCAGATGGGGGTAGCCTGGAGGAGGAAGGTACTGACAAAGCTTAACCTGTTCTAAACAGCTGGCCACAAGAAGACTCACAGCCTAAATCCAGCACGCCTGTCTCCCCTTCTTCCCACAGCCAGCAACAAGGCCTAGCAGAGCAAGGTCTTGACAGCCGAGGTGCCTGATGCTTTTAAGTGACTGGGCTCAACTTTACAATCTGATGATTAAGGTCTTTGGGGCCCTATTTTTAGTGTAGATGTAAATTGCTTTATGAGCTAAGATGTCTGTACATTTTAATGACACGCTTCTGTCCCAGTTCACTCCTTGTGCTGTCTACACCAGGTTCCACAGGACCGCAGACCCCCCCAACCCCCCAACCCCACCTGCCGCCGGCATGGGCCAGGGCTTTCCAGCCCTGGGCTTGTCCTCTTGGCTGACAAGGTTCCCCACCCAAGGACTGACAAGAAGGTGCTGGTGGTCCCTCCTCCTGTCCTGAGGTTTGCCAGAGGCTTCCTTTAGCACATATCATGATTTCAGAGCCAGAGCATCAGGGACAATGTGGGTGACCCACACCTTTGGATTCTTTACCCTCAAACAGCAAAAGCAGTGTGTGCAGGGCAAGCCCAGAGCAGGAAGTGTCTCCAAGGAAAACCAGCCCGTGGCCATCTTAGTTCCCAGCCCCCGTTCCATAAATGCTGTCCTTTGAGGTTATAAAGGTGCTCCTCCAGGGAAAAATAAAAAAACATTTCTTGAAGAGGGAAGAAAAGAAGAAAGAAAGAAAAGAGGGAAAGAAAGAAACATGGTACTAGCCAAGATTCTCTTCTCTTCTTGAAGCCCAGGGTTTATTTCCTAGACTCTCAGAAACCAATACATGTGTCCCCAGACCTGAGATCTTATCAAATTTCCCTACCTAAGATTTAGTCTCCTTGAAAATATCCATATTTTCCTAAACTGGATGAACAGTAGCCAGTGTTCCAAGGAAAAGCAGGTATGTGGAGCCGTGGGTCCCCACAAGATATCACATGCAAAAAGATAAAGTCATTTTCATGCAAATAACCTTTGAGACCAAATCATTCAGTCCAATTTGGGTAAATATCAAGTCCACCTGCCACTAGGGACTCAGTGGTAAGCGATGCCTGAGGCAAAAGCTTCTTTCCTGCATGAGATTAATTTCACAAGGTACCAGAGAATGTTTTAAAAAATAAAGCAGTAGACCAAGAATATGATTTCCCACGAGTGTGACTACAGGTCCTATGTTCTTTGAAATGATCTATTTAATTTTCCAAAACAAACTGAAATGAATGAAAATTTAACTATGTTCTCTAGATTTAATTGAGGGATTCAGGGTGTCAAATTATTTTCAAACA